GAAAGACGTGTTAATGGGGGGGGTGGAAAGTGCATCTGTGGAACTGAGAGCTAGTCAGCCCAATTTCAGACTTTGAAGACTCGTTGCATTGACGGCACATTTTAGCAGTAAAGCATATGCAGGATTTGTGTTCAAGCATGAAATATCTCTGTGCCAGAGTTGCTCTTGGGGACCCTGAGGAAGCACTTAGCAGCTCCATAGTCTCGATGACATGTGGAAGGTGGATGTTTTTCCTTCTGTAGGTCAGCTTGCTAAACTGGCTGATGCACAGTTTAACTTCATCCTTTTCCTTCCATTTCAGGCAGCTAGTGCCCACTGGGCCACCGCAGAAGGTAGGCCTTCGTTATCTAAGCACAATATGATATATTCTTGAGAAGAGACGCATGAGAGCAAGTGCATCATTAAGTTTCCTGGCCGTTGTAACCAACTCTTAGAGCTCTGGCTATAGTCCGTCTTTGAATGCTGTGTGAAGCAGTGGTTTTGTGATCTTTAGTGAAAAACCTGTCACTGCTGGCTCACTTGACCAGTAGAGATTTGATCCTGATTAGTTGTTGGCTGATGATCATATTTCTTCTGAATTAGTTGGGGCACACAATAAGGAATTTGTCATCTTTTATGACAGCTTCTTGGGAACAGATAATACTTGATCATGCAGAAAGCTTGGCGGTAGCTGGTTAACTTGGTAGTTTGTGTAGTAGATTTGAAGTGGAAGCAACATTGTGTTGGATCAGAGTGTTGTGTCATGTGGCTGGGGCATTTTTGGGCCAGTATTAGAAGCCCTACAGCTGGATTTAATGCATTGTTCGAACATACACCAAGGCAGAGCTGCAGGTAGTTGTTCAGTTCAAAGCTGAGGATTAAGCTCCTGGGAGTAATTCGTGAGAGGTGTGGGGTCCTAGCTGGGAGGAAGGTAGGAGTTCACATAAAGGTGCTAGCAGAGCCTTGCCAGAGCTGCTAAAAAGCTGATAGACATGTGCTCTGGATGGACCAGTGTATAGTTTGTGGACATTTCCCCTGTTGTCAACATACAGGTGGTTTTGTGGGGGATTTTTTGTTTGTTTTTGTTTTTTCCTTAGTGTTTTTCCTTGAAATGAGATTCTGTGATACACCAAAGGTGTGAATTAATTCATGATAACATAGAGTATGCTGATATACTAGGTGTACTTTGCATGTTTCAGAATGCAGAGCTATTAACAGCTTTTATCAACCCTTTAGATTGGTATCTGCCGTATCACTTAGACTGTAAGAGAACTGAGTAATCCTTCTAGGTGTATTTTTGTGTGCTTTCTGTGCCTAACATTAAGCATCTATTAACATTTGCTGCTTCCAATTACTTAATTAATTACTTTCTTTGAAGTGAATACTGATGGGACTCGCTATCTCACACTTGTTCTTTCAGAGGATCTCTTTGGTTAGCAGTTTTGCAGCTTCCCTTTTCCTAGGAGCTTATGCACCCATTGATTACAGTGACGGTAAGTGTCTGGGCTTTTCTCCTAGTAACAATTGAACATAGAGATTTTCCTTTCCATCCCCATCTTACATAAAAGGGGGACAAGGTTGCTGCTATTTATTTACAGTCTTTAAACTTTAATGACAAGTATATTAGATTTTAAGCTAAGTTACACTTTTCAATTTGTTGCACTCTTGATAGTGCTGTCAGCCGTGCCTATTTATCTCCATTTCTATAAAACAGACCCACAGAAAATATTCGTAAACGGAATTGTACCTTTTTTCATTACTTGATGTATAAAGGAATGTTGAAATATCTGTTTAAAATGACGAAAAACGTTTTGTTAAGCTAGACTTCATAGTTCTTATATTTGTTCTTTGGTTTTGCTAGTTTAGCTCTGAGTTGCACAGGATGTGAACAAGATGTATATTGTGATTATTTTTCCCCCCACCTAACTGGAGTATGAATCTACAACAGAAATATCTTTTCAAAATGAACCAGAGAAAAAAGCATAAACCAAGCAAAAAAAAAAATCCTAAACTCAGTTTAAAAAAAAAAAAAAATCTTCCGTATCTGTCTATTCGTTGTAACAAAGACAAAAAAGTGACAAGGCTAGTGTCTGTCTTTTCTGTTGGGTGTTATCTCAGTTATCCAGCTTTTAAATGGCAATTTAAAATGGCAATTACAAAGGAAACCATTTTCCTGGGAGCTGTGCTGTTATTTCTAAATAGCATTTTTGATTCCTGCTCTGAAACTAAGAGAAGATATATTTCAGAGCTGAAAGGTTAGATAACAAGGCTCTCTAACGAATTTTTGCATTATAGAACCGTAGTTGACACCCATGTGTTAAGACCAGCTCATTTTTTCTCCTTGGCTGTTCCATCAAAGCTCTCAGGAAAAGGCAAGACACCCCAATTTTAGCTAATGGACAACTTATTTGGTATCAGATCTCCCAGTTATACTTGAGACCTTAAAAATCATGAGGCAATCCATGCTTATTTTGCAGCAGTTGCGAGATTATTACATCTATCTTCTGGTCCTGTTCTGTCAGCCATGCATTTTCACAGCTGAATTTCATTTTTTTTTGCGTATTATTGGCAACAATACCTCTTCGGAGAGTTGCACTTTGCTCCTCAGTAGGCCCAAATGCTGAGCCCTTCAGCTGCTCAGCAACCCCCAGAACTAGCTCCCTGTACTGTATTTCAAAGAGAGATGGTGTGATCTTCAAGGCACTTTTTCAGATAAAGATATACATTGATTTTTTATTTTTCAATGGGAGTGAAGTATTAATTTTGATTCAACTATAAGCATTAAAAAAAAATTCTTGCTTTTGGGTTTCGGTTGTGTTTTGTTAATGTTACCTCTGCCTTTTCTACTTGGAAGCAAGTGGGTGAAAGCTGTGCTTCTTCAATTTCAGAACATGAAAATCTCAGTGTTTGACTGAAACCCGAAACATTTTAAACTAAAGAAAATGAAAATTTGCTTCATTGGAAAATTTTCTTTGAAAATGTATTGTATTTTTCAAACAGCTCTAGGAGAGCCTGTTCTGTTACACCTCTGGATATTTATGGAACTTGAATAAATGTTATCTACTGTTCAGAGCATGTAAGATTATTAAATCTTTGTGTGAAAAAAGATAAGAGAACTAAGCAGGATGTTACAGTTCTCTTTACAAGAAAAGATTTTTTGGCATTGTAAGCTATATTTTGTCTTGTTTGTTCCTTTCTTCTGTTGACATAATGAGAGAGAATTCTAATTCCAGTAATAAAATATAATTATAAAGTAGGCTGTAGTTATTTGGATCCAGCTGAAAAACTTGTTTTCTTGTCATTTACCATTTCTTGCAATTCACTTGATCTTTTATGCTGCACCTGTATTTTGTAGTTTAAAATGCATCTCTCAAAATAATGTTCAGATAATAGACCTATTCTTCATTTCTGTAGGTTTAACTTCAGGTCATATCGTCTTTAAAAGACCCTGTCGAATTGTTTAGCTCTGCACAGTAACTTATCTCTCTAAATTTGCAGGTTATTGTAGGAAATGTGCTATTCAGTTTCAGGTTGTTTTTTTTTTTTTTTTTCTTTTTAAAGGTCCAATCTCCTAAGGTTCAAATCACTCCTTGTGAATGGCTGAGCACCCTGGGTGATTGATTTAAAAAAAATCAAATTACATTCTAGTGGAATGAAGAATGATTTTCATTTATATTGTGCAGATGTCAAAAGTAAGATACATTTGGAACCTAAACAACTTGAACACTTGAGGCATTGTTTCTTTTAGAAGACACCTTAAAGAACAGCAATTCAGCTCTTGACCTAGAGAAGCTTTATCTTTTGAAATGCTTTTCTAAGAGCCTTAGGCAAATCATAGCTTAGCATACTTATTTTTGTTGTTCTATCAAACAAGGATGCTTTGAACTGAAGCCTTTTCAAAAGGAAGCGTGGTGGGCTGAATTTACTCCTCATGTAGCCTGCGTGGTGTCAGCAGAGTTACGCTGCTTATGATTTTAGCTCACTGAAAAGACAATCCAGAGTGCTGTAGTACAGATGCACTGAAGTGTTTATGAATGTCTGCAAATGCTGATCTTTAGTTTGGTGATTAATCAAACGTTGCAGACTAACTGGTTTTGTCTTTGTAATGCAAGTGTTTGTTCCTGCCCTCCCCCCCAGTGTTGAAGCACTTACACTTCTGTATATGTAGAAAATACTAGCAGGTCCTGGTTGTGCTCCTTGTCATTTTGTGTTATTGCAGTGAAATACTGAATCCTGTTCATCCACGTATTGGCCCTTTCCTCGGTCCTTACTAGACCATGGCCATGGCTGTTGACCTTCATTGCTGATAGGGTATCCATTTGGAGTGACAAGTTGAAGGGCTGCCTTTTTTTTTTTTTTTTTCCCTGCTTAATTCTCAGATTATTACTTATTTTAGATGTTCAGCTTCGTGGCGTAGATCGTGACTAGAGGTGCTTGAGTTAGGAACTCACTGTGCGTCACTCCTCATATAATCAACAGAGAAAGAGAAGCGGTTCCAGGGAGCATTCGGTTCTGGTTTTGATTTTCCGCTGACTGGAGATTCTCATGCAAGGGCCCACAGTTGGATAGGATGAATCCAGGCCAACAGATTAATAGTCCTTGTGAAATAGTTGTTTCACATCTTTTAAATGAGTTTCTGAGGGCGGGGTAATTTAGCTCATCTTTCTTTTCTCAGGGCATATTAAAGTTGTTGTGCCACTATATCTACCAGTCAATAAACTGAAGTGTTGTTTCTGTATAATAAAAACGTAGATCTTTTCAGTTATAAAGGTTAGTGTTTTCCCTGTTTTATACAGGAAAGGTTGGAGGCTGCCCTTATGTCTTGCAAAATTGCATTGGGGGATACTGGTTAAATGTTTCTCTAGGCTTGTGGGGAGGGGAAAGGATTTTTTCCAAAAAACCATGGAAAACAACTACTAACCTTTCTGTAGTAAAATTCCTAATTTAAAGATTCTGTTGCTCACTGATTAATTTAGCGAAGAGGTTCTTGCCCTTTTAAATTAGGGACTTTTCCAGGAAAATGTATAGAATTACATATTTCCTCATAGAAAGCCTTGTGCCTGAGAGCTTGGGACATGAGGCTGCTCACAACCTCTGCCTCTGGGAAGTGCAGACAGGGATGCTGGGCTCGGTTTACACCTGGGAGGACTCAGTTTACCCCTGGAAGGAGGGGATGGCTAGATTGAAGAGTGGTACCACGTAGAGAACTGAGAGAAGCTGGAGTAAATCTTGCCATCTTTCCTTTTCTGTGGGTGGTAGCGAATTTGACAGCAGCGAAGGGAAATGCACCTTTTGCCTGTGGGAGGTGTGTTGCCCTTTTTTCATTTTTCCTGCTGTTGCATCATAGGCCAAATAAACCAGTGCATAATTTGTTAAGTGTGTTTAATTTGCCTGAAATGGGTTTGATTGATTTTAATACATTCAATTTTTGTTATGTTATTAATTATAATCCAAATATCCTACTGTTTGGCTTGGGTTATTCCAGTGTCCCAGCTGGAGTGTGCAACACTTTCTGTTTACAACACTGTGTGAAGCACTAGGTCCAGACCTTGTTGATAGTGCTTAGGATTGGACTGCATGAATATATATTTTATTTATAAATGTTATTAAACTCATTATTAAGCCTATGTGAAAAAGGCTGCTGGGAGTTGATAGGGTGGGCTCATTTGTGCGTGTGTAACCAGCAGTAGCATATGGGCAGGGAGTGTGTTGCAGGCGTGCGCCCTTCTTCAGAATAAGAGCACTGCTAGAACCTTGTGTTGTGCTGCTGAGATGTGGGTTGCATCCTTTCTCTTCTGCTGTGCCCCAGCCTCACGAGCACAGTCTTGTTCCACAGACGCTGCATGTGGGGTCAACTTCACCATCTTTGTGTTTTTAAAAAGCTTAAAGATGTTCTGAATGGAAGCAAATGTCAGGTTTTCCATTGTGCTCAGCTGAGAATGTGGCTGTGTTTCTGAGATAAATAGGTCGTGGGCTAAATGGTCTTTGAAACGAAAATGTTGTTAATCTAGAATAAGACTAATATGTCCCTGAACAGTACTAACCAGAAGCACATGCAGATTTTCAAGTTGGCTGAAATGTGCAATTAAAGACATCTTAGAAGCATAAGCAAGGGCTGTGGAGTGCTCAGTGTGTTATGTAAATTCAGCCACTAACCAACTTCAGGTAACTTTTAAACCAGCAATAAAACAGTGAGGAAAAAGCAGCGAGAAGCCAAACCTAAACTGCACAGGCCTTCCTCAGATCTAGTGATAGTACTGGTGAGGAAATAAGTGACCAAATCAGTTATCTAGGCTTTTGCAACCCCTAATTCAGTCCACAGATTCTAGACTTTAGAGGTGTTGCATACTTGCAGGAGTTGCAGATTTCAGTTGGGCTGTTCAGCGTTTCTGAAAACCATGACTTTGGTATTCCAAGCTGGGCTCTCCAAACTAGCCTCAAAACTAGAGGCTACATTTGAAAATTTGTTTTTTCTTGGACTCTTAAGCCTTTGTTTTGTCGTCTCTGAAGAAAGAAACATTGCTGTGGAGGAAGATTAGTCGACATGGATTTAGATGTTTATATGATACTCAAAGGTAGGAGTAGTGTAAAGCCATACCACTTGAGGGGAAATTCTTCATTGTTAGGTCTCAGGTGAGCAACGCACCTTCAAGTGACATTGCTACATCGCCTTTGGATACTTGGGTTGAAGTCTTTGTCTAAGGTGGAAGGTTTGGGGAGGAGCTGATGGGGAGGCATTCATGTTCTTCTTTTTGCTTTTAATTTGGGAATAACTGAATTGTCTAGTGCATTGAGCATCAGAGAAGCCTTTCTGCTACCTTTACAGGTGAAAGCTGTCCAGAAGCTGAATTATCAATATCCTTTATGCTTAGAAGAGTGGAAACCATTTTCTTTGAATGTAAAACATGAATTTGTAAATTTTCTGTTGCCTGTAACGAGGTGGAATTTTCCGACAGAGTACTGTCTTCTGTTTAATGATGCATGCTTCCTGTTTTGATCTGTCTTGTAGGTTCTGGTATGAATTTGCTGCAGATTTGGGAAAAGGTGTGGTCAGTGTCCTGCCTTGATGCTTGTGCTCCTGGATTAGAGGAGAAACTAGGATGCCCTGTGCCATCCCATTCAGTCCTGGTATGTGCTGGTCTAGAAGAATTGTAAGGAACAAATAGGGCTTTGTGCTGAGAGTTCTGCTTATGGCACTTCCTTGGTGTGTATTTGTGTGTGCGCAGTTATCCTCAGAGCTACGCTGCTTGATTTAGTATTTCCAGGTGTGTTGTGGATGTGTATGCCAGAGCAGAAACAGAGATCTTGGAAAGCTGCGAGCTGGCGCCTGTTGTAGCTTTCATCGTTGATCTCCTTGGCTTGTTGCACACCCTGGGCTATGATGAGAAAAGTTTTGGTAGGTGCTCCAGTGATGAGAATCTTTGGGATCCCCTCCCATGCCCACAAGCACCTGGTCATGGCAGAACTGTGCACAGTATTTATTAGTGCAGAAACAGAACCCAACATTTGTGTTTCTTGACAGAGACCTTGTTTTAAACTGTTTGTAGAGTTAATAAGGTAATCTTTGTGAATAATGTGGGATATTTAAAGCTTCTCAGTTCACATAGCATAATGGTGAATTCAAATCAAGCTGCCCATCTCTTAAAGGCAATTAATTTAGTCTTACAACCCAACACAAAAAGAACCATTGCTTTAGCTGGTGCACATGTAAGACAGCGTAGATACCCATGACCTGATCCCTCTGAATTCAGCGCTGATCTGCCGTAGTGGAGAGGAACATATTAAAAAATCCTTATAGGTGTCCTTGTATTTTTTACAGATTTTTTTTTTCCTGTTTTTTCTCTGTGGCTATCATATGTGACTTAAAAGAATGCAGTTCTTGACCCCTAAAATAATAGGGATCATATTTCAGCATTTGATGTTGTGATGTATATTAATGTTGTGTTTCCTCTTAGGTTTGCATTGAATTTCTAATTTGTATGTATTAATATTCATGTACATGTGCAAAACAGGTGGATGTGTTTATGTTACTTGATGTGAATAACTGGAGAAAGACCCAAAGCTAAAAAGCTACTATTTACTATATACTGCCATTTCAAAATCTAATCTGAGGGTATTTCTGTGAGTTTCTCAACAACAAAAAAATTGGGTTAAAAATATTTAAATTATTCGTTCATACCTTAAATACACAGAAATTATTACTGTAGCTGCTCTGGGGTTTTTCAGTTCTATGTTACAACACATTGTGTCACAAATTGCAAGATTACTTTCGATTTTTGAGCTTTTTTCCCTCTCTCTCTCTTTCTTTCCTTAGGGGCCCATTTCTCCGTATTATAGTCAGCGTTATGGGTTTAGCCCAGACTGTAAAATAGTAGCATTTACAGGAGACAATCCAGGTGAGATGATTAAATGTATAAGATTCAGTGAATATGATTATGCACATACTAAAATTCTAAATCAATCTCATTGATTCTCAGATGTTCCCTATGCAGTGAAAGAATATTGTGTTTATCAGCATTAATACATTTTTCCAACAGCCTCCCATCACTGGTTCTTCTGAGATATAGACATCTTGGGTAAGCTAGGTATGACAAATGAATTCTCTTTTGTCTAGTAATTAGAAGCAACTTCATTTGCCTCTTGATAACTTCAGTTTTGGTTTGCCTGCCCCTAAGAAACTATTCTTTCTATGAACTGCTAACATTTTAACTTAGAAAATATGAATTAAAAAATTGCTGTTGTATCTTTCCAAGCAAAAAAGTGGAGATGGACCTCCTAGGCTTTCTCTAAGGATTAGAGCTGTCCTTTTGGCAGACTGCTAGATCTCAGTTTAAGGGAAGGTGTTAATTTAGGGTCAGTTTTTTCAATCGTGGAGACTGTTTCAGTGTAGAGCAAATTTGTCTGTTTCTGAAGACTGTGAAAATAAAATACTTATTCCTATTACAGTAGCATATGCAGGTTTGAATCGAGATGGAGGCTTCATCATGGTATATTTTGCATTCATATTCTGGGAGACAGTTAAACTCTGCATTTCCCAAAAGTCCAATTTTCTTCTAGAGATTCAAATCCAGGTTAGTCCAATAAATATGTGAGTAGTCTGATGTAAGTGGGAGTGTTTTTCCTTAAAATGTGTTGTTAAGTAAGGGTCCACTGTATTTCAAAGCTGAATACATAAAACATTAGAGAATCATGCAGTTCCACAGTCTTGTCTCGAGCACTTTGGTTAAAAATCACCCCTTCGCCCAAATGCTTTGCCCATCTTTTACAGTGTACAGGCCAAGGCCATCGTGAGCATATTTGCCATTTATGTTGTACTTTGAGATGGTGAATGCGATGTGTTATGATGTCTTGTGCTATAATTCAGTCAAACAAGTAACTTTATATCTGGTATTCTGACTTTTTGCTTTCAGCGTCATTGGCAGGGATGAGACTTCAAGAAGGAGATATTGCAGTAAGTCAAAACATACTCCTGAAAACTGTCCGTATCCCTGAATAAACGAAATACATGAAATTGTAAAATAGCTGGAGGTTATCATATTGTATGATTCTATGCTCAGTTAAATTTATCTGCTAGTGTTGATTTTCTGTTTATTGGCTTCACGCTTGTTTTATTTCTATCAATCTGTAAGCTGCCTGAAAGATTTTAAGTAAACTCTTGTAACTATTTTTAACTAATACTCCAGACATTAAAACTAATGCTCCAGACATTAAAACCTAAGTCTCCATCTAGTGTGTATTTCACTGGCGTGACAACCTAACTCAGAGCTAGCTTCAACACGAATCCAATTGACTTAATGTGTAATTTAAAAACAATTAGTGGTAATAACAAATGGTTTTAATTTAATTTCTGTATTGCTTTCCATGCACATTGTGATAACACTTCAATTATTTTTTTTTTTCCCCTCCAGATTAGCCTTGGCACAAGTGACACATTGTTTCTATGGATCCAAGAACCAACTCCTGCCTTAGAAGGTCATATTCTCTGCAATCCTGTTGATTCTCAAACATACATGGCACTTTTATGGTAATATAATTTATTTTTTGTACATCTGGGATCAATAACAAATATTTCTTTCTCTATGTTAAGTGTTTTTTATTTCTTTTGCAAAATGGTAATGAACAGAACACGCAGCATTCTGTATGGTATATGGCAATCTGCTGCTGAAACATTTGCATCAACATTATAGCATTCCTATTGTTTAATTTGAGTCACTTGAACTGCAGAGTTGTGGAGGATAAATTCTCATGGCAGGAAAAGGCTGAAATTAATTTTTACGTATACATAGAGCCAGTCCACTGTGAATCTAAGGTAATACACTTAATGTACAGGAATAATCACCTTCTGAAATACAATGAAGTGAGATGTCAGAAGCTTGACCAGGGTGTATAACTTCTGTGCTCTTCTAGTGGTCCACAGGGGACATAATAGGGCAGGTGAAGATTCCCTTTTCAGAAAGGAGTGTAAGCAGTGCTGTCCAGGGACGTGTTAGGCTTTGCATGTGGAAAATGCTGAGATGTCAAGAAACCCAGCTGAGGGAACGATCCTCATGATAGGTTTTGTCTACCATGATTCGGGAATTGTTTGGCCCCTTGCCAGCCAAGTGGGTGGAAAGGTGGCCTGATGTTATGTTTTACATCACTGAGTCGCTGTATTCAGGGTAAAAACTTCCAAAACAGGTCATGGTGTTTAGGCAAATATTTATAAGTAATATGCAGATAGATTTTGTGTCTAAATCTGCTGGATTTTAGGTGCTTGAAACTCAAAACATCAGCAAAGCTCAAATCTGCCATTTACCTGTAATGTTGAGTCTAACCTGTGCAGTAATAGGATGCTGTAGATGACAGTGGGTACAGTGTTCATGAAGTCGAGTTCAAAAGCATGATGTCAATCGCACGTTACTGAGTTTCAATAGTATGATTTCCCAGCAGCTGGTTTTGTTTTTAAGTTCTGCATTCAAGCTTCTCTTTTACCCAATATTTTTCTGACTTTTGCTGTATAAAAGAGCTGTATAAACAACCTCCTTTGTAATAGGAAAGAGGATGCTGAGGCATTTTTTCTGAGTAACTGTTATACTGCCATTCTTTTACTGCAGCTTAACATGTGCAGAAGGCCAAACCTGCCTTTCACAACACAAGATATTTCTGTAGTCACGCAGATGTAAAGAGTTCCTGTCCCTCCTGCCTAGTCGTTTCTGCCCAGACACTGCTGCTTTTGCACCAATGCCCCTTTATTTCTAGAGCATTAGAGTTAATAGGGAACCCTCAGTCAGTAGAAAAAGAGTCCCTGAGCTACCTGCTAGAGTATTTGTACAGAAAACTTCAGTAACTTCAACTGCTGCTACCAATAATTTCCTTGCCCTCTTTCTGGATATTTCTGAGCTTTTCCTGCTGAGTTGCTCTGATCACTCTGTGGTGGAGAGTATTCAAAGCTTTCCTCTGGGTCTGAGTCCGATGCTGCAATATTTTGCAGGAGTGTTGTATTCACAGAGGTGACTGCCTAAAGGGTGCAAAGACCATGAACGCGGAACAGACGTGTATTTTACAGCATGGTTTACTGGCTCTGGACCAGAACTGTGCAGATGCAGCTGTGGTGCTTTCTATTGCCAGATCCTGGCACGGAGCTAGAACTCCTAAGCCTTGTTGGACCCAAGCTGGCTCCATAGCGGTACCATGCTCCTGAAATCATAAATGCAATGTAGAGACACTCTTGCTCCTCCTTGCAGAGTCATCTCACAGTGAGGTTTTTACTGCTGTGTCAGAGTACTTCTCTGAGGAGATGTCTTAGCTGTTCAGGGCTAGCCTGGGTTTAGCGTGGCCTGCCAGGCTGGATCTAAGCTGAATCGTCGGAGATATGTATACCAACAGCTCTGCACTGCGTTCATCAACACATCCTGTAATATTTGTTTTCCCTCTTATCTAGTTTTCTCTCTCTCTATCTCTTTCCATAACAAAGAAGTGATTGTATCTTTTAGCTTGCCCAGCTTTATTCAGCTGATAAAATAAACACCAGTATCGAGTAAAACAACAAATTGCTTTAAAAATCTAGAGCTGAATGTTTTTGAAAATATATATGGTGTGTTTGTGTGTTTCAGTTTTAAGAACGGCTCTCTGATGAGGGAGAGGATAAGGGATGACTGTGCATCAGGCTCCTGGGATGAATTCTCCAAAGCCTTATCATCTACTGTTGCTGGAAACAATGGAAACTTGGGTATGAGCCTTAGCAGGGCTGGGTGTTCCAGGGTTTCCTTAGGTGTATACTGGAGTGTGTGTTACTCCTACTTTTTACTTGCGTCATGATAAAAGCCAAGAATTAAGTTACCTAGAGCAAGGGAAATTCCTAAAGTGTGCTTAGAAATGCTCTGTTGCAGACTAAGTGTGGTGGTAGTATTTTCCTTCAGTATTCACTAAATAAGAAAATTGTATTTATGGAACTTTTTTGAAAGGGTGTTATTAGCATCTTAGCTGTAGAATGTTTTAAACTAGTGATTTCTGAAGGAGGCTTTCGTTAAAGTTTCTTTTTCTGAAGACTCAAGCCAAGTGAATTAAGTAACTCCGTATTATTTCTCTCTCAGTCATTATTCTAGAGTGTTGTTCATGCATGTGTTGGACTAGATGATCTTTTGAGGTCCCTTCCAACCCCTAACATTCTGTGCAAAGCAGTAATGTCAAGTGATACCCAGATTTCCTGCGTTTTCCCCAATGTATGTCAGAGTCGTTTCATCCCTGTTTTTTTCCCCACATTATGGCAAGTGAATGAGATGAAACAAAATGATGATGATGGAAATATTTTAAAAATATAAACAAACCCATGTATTTGAAGTTTTACATTTTTTTCTTTCCTACAGTTTAACATTTTACAAGTGTAATATATAGCTCTGAAATAAGTTACTGAAAGGTGAGCATATGTGTAATCAAGATTAAAATTTAACCATTGGAGGGCTGGATTTGAAATCATCTCCATCATCCTAGATCTGAATTGATCTGAGTAAAATTAATTTAAAAATGGTAGGTAGCAAAATTTGTAAATGTAGATATTTAATCTATAGGAGACTTCACTCCTTAGGAAGGTGAATCTAAAATAGTTTCTTAACACTGTTGAGGTTAGCACTGATTTTTTATTTTTAGAAGTTCTGTCTGTCAAATCCAGTCTCTTTTCACTAGAAGACAAATCAATTCAGACATTTCAGAAGACGGGAAGAAGTTGTTCCAAAACCCAAAAGTCAAACACTTTAGACAGTATTAAAAAAATTGGAAGTTGATGAAAATATTGTTACTGATTTCAAGGATACCAGGACACTGCCTTAAAGTTTTAAAGTTGGTGTTAGAGTATATTCACTTGGATATCTTAGTCCCTTATAAAATAAGTGTTTCATGAAAGTCATCCTTGATAAATCTCTATGCCTGGATAACCTCTGGGTATACATGTGGAAATACAGTAATGTCCATAATCTGAGTTCCCGAGGGAAGCAGAGCAAAGCAGCAGCTGGTTGGACACCCGCCCTTTTGTCACTTGTTCCCTGCACGCTCTGTTCGGTAAGAAGATGCCCCTGCAGAGGTTTGGAGGTGGGCAGAGGCAGCTGCTAGGGTGAGGTTGGGATAATGAGAGGAGCAGGGGAAGCAAAGAGGGAAGGAGGAGGAGTGACTGGATGAGGGTCCTGTTGCGTCTGGGAAGTACCCGAGAAGGCCAATAGAACTGTGAGGTTTACCTGAGGAGCTCATCTGCCAGATGCAAGGGGTAGCAAGGTCAGAAAGCAAAAAGGTTATGAGTGCCCAAGCACAGTACTATTTTGGGGCGTTTTTTTGCTAATAATCGTAGGGCTCCCAGGGCAGCATGCTCTTGTTCCAAGGTCTGAACCTTAGAAACTCTCCTTAGTTTCTTAGCTATTCTGCTCAGTTTTTCTGTCCCCATTTTCTTTTTTTTGTCTCCTTTCTTGAGTATCTTTTCTGACCAACCATCAACACAAAAGAATTCTTTTTCACACTTCTTGTCTGGCTGTCTGCAAAGCATTACTGCGTTTCTTCAGATCTCGTCAAAACTATTGAGCAGACCAGCTCTGCTTCATGACTGAAAATATCTGATGTTCTCTAATGAGCTCGTGAAATCTAATCCAGTGCATGGAGTGTTCCAGTATTCCTGTACTCTTCTTACTGACTTATTTTTTCTGTTGTTTGTTTGTTCTTCTTTCACCCTTGCATATGACCTACTGAAACAATTTCTAAGATGTGTTATGTATTATTTACATTACTTGCATGTGTGTGTGTTCTGGTGGATGTGTGCTCTTTTGTAGGCTTCTTGTTACGTTGTTTAGATGCCTAGAGCCAGACGTGCTTAAGATCCACATTTTTGGAAATGGAAACTAGTTAAATTCAGTAACTAATTTCAGTCCACGCGTTTAAGAAACAGGCTGTGTGGTGACTCAAATGTCTTTCCAAATACGTGATAAACGTTTATTGTCAATTTAGCTGTGTGCTGAAATAAGATTCCAACTTTGGGCTCGGAGCAAACATGACACTCTTTAATGTTCCTTGATGCAGGTTTCTACTTTGATGTGATGGAAATTACTCCTGAAGCAGTTGGGATTCACAGATTCAACAGAGACAACCAAAAGGTAGTAATAATCTAGCGTCTCAAACCTTGAAGGAGTACTGTCAAGGCTTGAAATCTTTGCCACTATTTTTTTTTTTCCTTTTATTTTCCCCCTGAGATACTTGCTTTCAAGTTTCATTTGTTGATGCAAGTCCCTGGTATGATTTTCCTAAGGAAATATTTGGTCTGCAGCTTGAGAGTATCCACAGTGCAAAGCCTGAACACAACTTACGCGGTATTTTTTTGAGGAAATACTTCCTTTACTGGACAATGTGGATTTACTGAAGCCAACATTGTTTTTGAAACACGATTAACTTTAAGCTTATTGAAAGCTTAGTACACTTACATGACTTAGTCCCCTTCTTCTAAGATTCAGACACACAGATAAGGATGTGCTGAAACTTTGGGCTGTAATATTTTGTCTTTTATCTTGCTCCAAATGTGTACGTAAAGTAAAGACCTCATTTTGCTGTCCTACATGTCTTGGAGTAACCTACAAGCTACGTAGTTGTATGTAAGTAAACACAGGCTCACGTCCAATTGGAATTGAAATATAAATTCTGTTATGAAAAGGAAAGTTCTTTGTATCTTTTTTCTTTTTTTTTTTTTTTTTTTTTTTTCTTTTGAGGAATGGGTGTTGTTTAAATGTCTGCCTTTCTGGGTGGTACTGAAACGCAAGAGATGTCTTTCATCAGTCATGACTCCCAGTCGAATAGACCTCACCTAGGTGAACAGAGATTGATACTATCTTGTGTTTGCAGTGTAGCACTAGTCTCTTAAATGTTTGCTGTTTAAATGAGTGCTTAATCACTTCTAACTGTTACACAAGTTGTAGGCACTTGTAGTGCATGGAAAAACTCAACTTTTCGTGAAAGATTCTTTGTATTTATTTGTAGTTCAACGTTTTCCTGCTTCTGTTGCCTTTCTCCTATTCTGGTTGATGAAAGGACAGAAAAATGTTATATATAGAAACTAAATAAATGAATTAAAAGATTACACTGTTTCACTTCTGTGCAGACAGAAATAGTTTTAAACTTTTGTGACATTGCTTAATGCATCTGAATTTTATCTACTTGCTTTAATTTTATTTTTTTGAGATATTGATTCTTAAGCAGCCTTTGGTGCTAGGAAAAGCATTCAGAAGAGTTTACAACTTGCAGTAGAACCTCTTCCCATCGTGCATTGATTTCCAATTTGATGGATTTGCCAACAGCACCAAGGTTATGGGTTGTGCTCTCTGTCGTGAGTCTTTAGGTTCATCTTGTGCGTATGGGTGAAGAACTGGGCCTAGTTGAAAGCAGACTTCAGGGTGAAGACAAAGATAATCAACTCTAAATCTGTCTTGTGTTTTTAACCAGTCTCTAGCTTGGCATTGTAAGAGCTTGGCACCTCTGTAAGGTGCTTGTTAACTTAATGTGTTTCCTCTTTGGTGCAGGTTTCAGCCTTTCCAAAGGAGGTGGAAATACGAGCGTTGATTGAAGGGCAGTTCATGGCCAAGAGGATTCATGCTGAAAAGCTGGGGTATAAAGTCAGTAAGTATGACGAGAAGCTGCAGAACTAATGGCACTAGAGATCAAACACAAAGACAGGAGTCCCAACAGTAATGTCAGTATCGTGATTCTTGTCCTGCATGATGCATACAGAAACAGGTATGAATTCTCAGTTAGCCTCCTGGAAGAACTTTTGACGGTGTGTCAGGGGCAAGATTTTGCAGATGTTAACTTTAGAAGGACTTTACTTAACTTTAAGGTAACTTATTTTTCAGGTACTCTTGCTGTTCTGTTGTTACTGAGCTGCATTGTTAATTTTTAAATAAGAGTCTGGGCTTTGGTAGCTACTTAAGTGGAAAGATGACCAACCTTCTGCCTAAAGCACAAGACCATAACTGAGAAAGAAAATCTGAAATCTGTGTTCAGTTCCTGGATCTGTCGTAAACTGGTCACTTATCCCTTTACCTCAGTTTTCTGTTAATAAAGCAGAAGCCCTTTCCCTGACTTGTGATTTAGAAAGCAAGAGATCCTGCTTCCTAGAATTTATAATATGAATAGTTTTTAGCACATTGGAACAACAAAGCCAGCCAGTATCTTACCTGTAGAAGTGAGATGAGATCATTACTAGCTGTGTGATTCTACAAAAATAATATGGGCAAGTTGGTAAAATGTTTTACTGGTGTTTTCTGTCAGTCTGTCAGCCAGTGGCATCTTAAAAAATACTGAATTAACTCATCTTGAGGGTTTTTAACCAATGTTTTATTTTTTAAAATCATACTATTTTTATTTACATCCTGACCTTCTCCTTTACAAGCCATTGCTTGACTCTTACCTCCAAGCTCTTATCCGTAATCATGAAGGATAGAATTATTTTGTTTTTAAGAGAGAGCTCCAGGAGCTGAAAGTTGAGAAAATATAGAGATACTGGAACAAATCACAAGGCTTGACAGTACCGCCTCATAAATTTATGCTGTAAAGGTTTTCCTGTTATATATTTTCATATATACTTGAAACCGTATTTATTTGGGGAAGTTATTTATGGAGACAGGCAGAGATTCAAATAGATCATGTCTAAAATACATGTTTATTCTTCATTCTTAGATTCTGCTGCACCAAAAGCTAGGCTTATATAGCCTAGAAAGCTCATGGCTGAAGAGGGTGCTTCTGCACTCTGTAAATGTCAGGGGTTAGACAAACACCAGAGTGAGAAGAACTATTTAAGATATCAGACAACTCTTGACACAGAAACAAATGGGTAGAAATTGTCTGTGAATAAATTTAGGCTAAGTAGGACAGCCAAAATCCTAATTAGTTCTAGGATGTGGCTTGATAAGCTTAAAAAACTTCTTTTTTGGGTTTGTGTTTTTTTTTTTTTTTTTTTGAATGCCATAGATGTCTACAGTAAAAGGAGATGGGTGTGATTGCATTGTGTTCCTGTAGATTCCTTGGAACGTTGTATGCTTTTGTTCTGTTGCATCCCGAGGGTCTTTTAGCTATTTGGTAACTAACAGATGAGTTGCTTTGAAAAAGAACTGCTTTGAAAAAGAACTGCTGTACGTAGTGTAGGCTGTATGCATCTCCCACTTTTCCTTAGTGGTATTATTTAAATGTCATATTCTGTTATTTGTGTAGCGATGGCAGGCTTGCATCCACATTTGTTGTGTGACAGCTCTGAAAACAGGGTGTGTTCTGAATGTGTTTCAGGGTATGGATGAGCATTGTGGGAATTACTTTGGTATTGCCAGGATTTCTCTTGTTTAATAGCTGCTATTTTTCAGGCTGCTCTTTTGTTTTTAATGTGATTTAAAAGCTTATTTATCTTTTGGATGAAATACACAGTCAGGACCCTTGTGTTTATTTAATTCCTTTTGGGCCTTGTCTACATGGGGAATTTACTTTGATTTTTTTCCTAGGAATCAGGCTGATTTACAAATATAATCACAGCAGTGTAAATCTTGGCTGTTGTTGTTGTTGTTTACACCAATGGGAGAATACAGTAATAACTGCTCACAATATCTGGAAAGTTATATGATGACACCTATCAAATTGATCTGTAACAGAAATGGAAGTGACATGGTCAGTCACAACAAATGCTTTGCTAGGGTGTCCTGAGGTTTGTGTGGTGCCATCTCAGGGGTGCAGATGAGTCAGAAACCTGGCTAAGAATTTCCCTAGCTCTGGCACCAAGGCGCTGGAAAATCATTTTGGCAGTCATGAACCTGCCTCTGTTCTTGGGCCAAATGCAGTTTGGATGACTGAAAAGCAGCAGCGTACGTGGAAGAGAATTTTGTAAAAATAGATAAATAAAAATCTGTCGTATAGAGTTCTTGGTTATGCACTGTGAACATGACAAACATTAGATAATCCCTTAGAATTTACTTTCAGTTAATGAATGTGTTATCTTGCTAGGAGCAGTATTTTGAATCCTTGGTCTAGCTAGCGCTGCAGGAAGAAGTGCAATGATTAAGAGTGTTTTATATACGAGATTTAATTCCCTGTTTGATGTGTCAGGTATATAATATATCTTACATAAATTACAAATAATAATTAAAAAAAAAATCCCTTAAAACGGCTCTTAAAGTGCTGCTTTGTGCTTGCCTGCAGACATGTGCATAGGTTTCAGTGCGCTCGTGTGCCAGCAGAGGGCAGGGGATCCTGTCTCATGAGTTTTTTCTTTGAGGCTGGGGTGTGTGTGTCAGCCTTGTTTTGAAAATGGCACAGAGTCACCAGATGATCCTTAGAAGAAAAGTTAAACTCTACATTAATCGTGATTTAAGGGTTTTAAAAGTGTGTGTCACTCTGTTCTAATTGCTGTAATCTTTCTCAATCAGATTTCAGGGGAAATCATTCAGTAACACCCTGTATCCTGTTTTGCTTATGTGCTTAAGGGGTGGATAGAGTGTTGTGATCTAGAAACAAGTGAAGTTTGGTCTGTCCCTGTTGTTTACATCCTCCGATTCAGAGATTCATGCAGATAAGGTGAAGGTTTGCTGTTCTGCCTTTATTTTCCTGCATTTTGATTGTATCGTAAACACCTTCTGTTTTGTCACTTCCTTTTTCTGCTTGCAGCCATCCCGTTTTGAAAGCCAATCTCACAACTGCAGTTCAGAGGCTGGTCATACAGACATGCTTGCTGCGTAGTTTGGGGACTCTCTGAAGTCAAAACCGTGGTAACTTTATAGAGAAATGACAGTGTCTGCAGCTCTGACACAGGTGATCACAGCAGCTGTAAAGCTGTCAGTGGTTCAGACTGATCTGCCAGTATGTTCCTGACCAAGCAATCCTAAAGTTCATCCTAAAATTGACACTGACTGGAGAGTGTTGCAGTGGTCCTTGCTTGGACCTAGAGAAGCTGTCCTGGTGAAGACCCACAAAACTGATTATTCTTGGGAGCAAATTCTACCCCCCTGCCCACTGATGGGTGAAGTAAATATTGCCGTGGTGTATGTTATGCATGCTGAAGGAAAACAGCACACGGGTAGGGGTTCTGGTGGTGATCACACAGGTAGTCAATAGATGTTTAAATGATGTGCTGGTCTACAGTGTAGAAACCTTCATGTCAATGGGAATCTGTCTATATGTACTGGGTCAGGGTGTGTCCTCGAGTTGTGTTAAATAATCTGTGGGACTGCAGCAGCAATTAATAAATTCTGCCTTGTAGGTAGCCTGGTAGCCTGATTATCTGGGGTGGGGTCTGTGTCGAAGCTGTTAGCTTTGGACAGGGCTTTCTGTCTTCCCTTTGTTGTGTCTGTCAGTGAGTTCATAGTACTCCAGTCGCCCGATACGCTGTTCATGTCACATTTATACCTTTAGGAATGTGATTATGCCACCTAACTGTCATCAGCAGAGGGAGATGGATAGAAGGTGCCATGTTTTACAAGTGCAGGCTTTGTCCATAAGATCCTGTGTCTGTGTTTATTATGTAATTTACAGTTTCTTACGTACATAAATCCGTCACTTGCAAATAATGTTGGTGCCCTGAATTCTACTGACTGTACTTGGTGCCTGAGTACTGGCTGGGATGACATAGACATGCCCATGGCTTTGTACTGGTGTAAGAATGAGCCAGGTTTTTTCCTTCAGTGCTAAATGTTACTGGTGTTTCAAATACGTGAGTCTTTCTGATTAGATATACAGTGGGATGCATTCTGAAACAAAACAGCCATCCTGCAGTGCTAGGAAAAAAAAAAAGGAAATGTCAGGGCATGCTGGACCTGACTTCTGAGTGGTTAGAGGGGGAACTTGCATTTTCTGAAGAACTCAGTCTGAGATTACGTGAGGGCAAACTCCAAGGTGCCAAATTACATTTTTCTTCAGGTGGTGTTTTCTTCTGATGCTCTTTTCAGCAACTTGAAGGTAGTAATAGTGTGTGTCTCTTTGTCTGCAGGGAAGGCAGTCTGATGGAGCCAGGGGAGCTCATAAAATATCAACGATGTGTTTCATCATTCACGTTGTGGTGTGGAGGCACAGAAATTGAAAGGCAAGGTGTGAGGCTGCCACTTCATAGCAAAGTGTTGGTCCGTTGGAGGATGAAGTGGCTCTCCAATTTGGCGAGGCTAGATGCCACTGGTCCTCGGGACCTCCAGGGATGGCTTTGTGTCAGGCTATAAGACTGTTCTGCTGGTGGTTGTCTTCCACTGACTGGCCTCTGTGATTGTAGTCTCCAAAACTCTTAGGAATTATCAGGAACGTTATGATACTTGTTCTGCCAGTTGCCCTTGCCTTCACCACTAAGTGTGTTTCTACTCCAGTTGTAGCAGTGTTTTGGCTGAAATGAGGAACACTGTGAGTGAGGCCATTTTGTAGTTACATACAGATTAAATTGATGTTTATGCCCTGCGGGATTTAAATTTCTTAGAGAAATCAATACTAAAATGTTGTGTTGGCTTCGTGCTTGTCTCTTGCTGTTTGCTGCTAAGAGTTCTGATGGTGTTTCAGCAGCCTGAGGGTGACGGCTTTGTTAGGGGCCTTTGGCTTCAGCAAGTGAGTGAAAACAGTTCAAAAATAATTGGAGTGCCTGCAATGGGAGGTTGAAGTCCTCT